TAAAATTGGTAAATGAATGAGTGAATGCATGAGTGGATGGATACAATATTAATTAAATAAATGACATTTAAATATCAATTAGTTTTTTCTGGTTGAACCCCACAAAAACATAAATTTATTTCAACTCTGATCATGGATCCATGCCAAGGATCTGGGATCCCCTTCAGCCATTCACTTTGACAACCAAGACAACTGCATTTTTCTACTATTTCAGCATCAAATCCTCAAACATTACAAGAACTGTGTCGTCTGGTTATTCTAAGGARCATTGGTATCAACAGTTTATGCAAAGTCAAAGAACTTCCTCTACCACCTGCTATGATAACATATCTTTTGTACTTCAGAGAAAACTTAGAGTGAATTTCAAATGATAGAAAAACTGATTTATTGGTAACCATTATATGCCCTAAATTTGTTCTTTTTGTTCTTTGCCAACAAGAACAAGCTAAATACGAAATGTTTTTATTGATTTCCCTTTGTTCATGTAGTTTTTTTCCTGTTTTTTTATGCATCAATCAATTAAAACTGCTTTCCCAACCCCCGGACACAGTACACATTATAGCTGGAGGTTCAATACTTTTTTAATATCTGCGGTAAGGTGGAGAAATCAAYGTCTCTCCATCTAGCTGCATTTCTTTAACATTTTTGTTGGGGGCGTGGTTTTAGTCGACTGATGCATTTATCTTCATTGCTATATAGATCTATATAGGCCATTTGCACGATGGYATACTTTACTACAACTACCAGAAAGCTTTGAGCATTTTTCATTGTAATACAATTGGCACTAATTGCATTACAAAGAAAGTGGGCAAAGCATCCTGGTAGATTAGTTAATGACGCCATAATACAAATCACCTGTTGTTATCTYAGGTTGGGATATACGAACTTTTCACTGCTTTCACCTGAATCAGACCCAGCATCATGTGATTTTTTACGAACGTTTTCATCCAACCCATCATAGCCTTAAAGAACGCTTTTATATCGGTCAGAGTGGTCAGCTAATGCAGGAACAAGCTAAAAGCCTAAAATTTGTACATAAATTCTAACTACAATAATAAGCTGTCATATATGCATTGACTTTCGGGAACTCTATATAACGGACACCTTTATACCTTTGTATAAAGAAAGCCTTCATAGTTGTAGGTCATCGCCATACATTTTTCGCGGCATATCGAAATCGAGGAAACTGAGGAAACTGAGGAAACTAAGGAAACTAAGGAAACACTCCAATTTACTAAAATAATTATATTTATAACTTAATTTGAGCTGGTATTAAGAAGGAAATATACATTTCAATGTTAGAATAGAAAGCTTACCTTTATAANGGTTAAAACTAATTATAAAGGTAAGCTTTCTATTCTAACATTGAAATGTATATTTCCTTCTTAATACCAGCTCAAATTAAGTTATAAATATAATTATTTTAGTAAATTGGAGTGTTTCCTTAGTTTCCTTAGTTTCCTCAGTTTCCTCAGTTTCCTCGATTTCGATATGCCGCATTTTTCGTACAATATTACTAAGCCACGTTAGAGATATGCTGATATTATATATATTTCTAGACCTAACAAGAGGGTTAAAAGCCTCAAAAATTTTGAAATTTTCTGGAATGCATGTATCTTTGAGTGATTGTATTTGTATATGCCTAGTTCAAACAATGTTGCCAGGGTGAACGGCGATTTTCGAAAGGAGATTGCATGGCTGAAAGGGCTTATGGTTACACTGSTTGGATTTCACTTGTTGGGTTCACACCTTCCGTGAAAATGAAGACTAAATTGAGACTAAATGGAGCACAGACTAACTCTCAGTGTAAATYCAATCATTATTTTAAATTAATTAGCGAAAAACATGGCTCCTCTCGGTCATAAAATCTCCGTTCAACAAATGCCATACTAAGCATTTTATGCGCCAGCCTTTTTTGAAATAGATAAGTCTATTGTTCATTCCTCCAACATGGTCTCCGGTATTTTACAATGTTTTGAATCTCATGGAAATGGTTGAAAACGATCAATTTAAAAAATGCCTGGCGCGCACCGATCGTAGTTTCGGTTTAGCTCGGCTTTGATAAGTGTCTTCAATCCACAAYGTTGCAACAAAGTCTTATTAATCGAGGAAGTATCAGATTTAGAAAATACATGGGTTGGGTTAACATGTTTCTTATATCGGGTATTCAAAATTGTATTAAATCATTCAATGTTAAGGATACACTCTGTTGCTGTTTAATTGAGTATCTTCGTTTTAAAAGTGAAAATGAGTATTTTTAATACATAGAAATGTCAGCTTTTCTGACTTTTGAAAAGTTGCTATTATCACTAGTGAAAATAACATGTTATCCCCGCGCGCCCCTTAGTAATCCTCTATATTTCTCGAATGTTGAAAAGTGGAGCGGATAATATATCTTTCACTGCCGGAAATGCTTTGTTGGAATTGTTGTGATCGTATAACTGAAGCTCTTCCTTGTTTGTGTTCCACCGATATTTCAGATATCGATACAATTGAGTCGATAACATTCGTATCTCTACACGCCCATGCATGGGCATGCATCGKGATGTGCCGGCGGACGATCAAATGGGAACATCTACAAAACGCCAAGAAATATGTTCCTCTTTCTTTAAGAATAAATTTGTTCAAAGGATAGTTGTTAATTCTTCACACAGTTATCATTTTGTTATTAATTGACTCCATATTAAAAAGCACCCTCTAGCCTGCCTGCTTAGCCTGAGTATCAGGCTACTGCCTTACGTTAAAAAAAATCCGTCTATCATCTCTTTAGTATGAAGCAAACTATGGTCTATCAGGGTCTTCTTCTCTCTATGTAAAGAACTTGTTTTACGCGAGAGGGTGGGCTCTGAGTTCCCAGAATACCACTCAATACCAGAATACACCAGACAGTGAAAGATACGAGCGAAAATCGTCTTCTTAGTATGTCTGATGGGATGTTCCCAAAATATCACCATTTTGTGTCTTCAAAACGCGGCTAATAATTTGTCTCACCGAATATAAAACTGAATCGTATCCTTCTGGCTGTGCCTGGTCCTTCTCAGGAGACGAATCTTGGGTACGAAAATGAAATCGTAATATAATATCTAGCTGACTCAAGAACTGAGAACTGGCCCGATTTGACATTGAATCATGTCGATCACTCATACTTCACTTCCAACATTTACTAAACGTTTTCTTTGGGTGTTTAATTATTGTTTAAAAATTGTTAACGGCGGTCAATAATCAATTGAATAATAATCACAAAAGACAAAACAACGAAACCGAGAAAAGAAAAACAACTTTGAAATATGAATTGATCCTGGAAAAATGGTGGAATTCCGAATTCTTGCGAATTTTCACGGATTCGATATCCAGAAGGAGCTTGGCATCCGGAATCCACTGGGGACGCTCTGGTTCCATGTCATGGCGCGAAAACTGGATTCAAAGAGAAAAACAAACAGAGCGGGGACGCACATCGAAGAACGCGTGAAAGACTTGAAAGTAATAAAATTGAAAAAGCGATCAAATAAAACCGACGGAAAAGTTGATCGATAACTCTCCTATGAATAGCTCGCACCGCTTGACGTTTATGCTGTGTATGTCTATGGAATTCATGCATTGATCTGAAAAATTGATGAAGTAATTCTGCGGTTTTTTGACTGCTCTAGTTTCAGTAGCTCTTTCTACCAATGTGATTTATAGTCAAACATCTTACAGCTTTGTGGAGTGCGACTTTCAAACGAGAGAAAATTTARCGTTGATCGACTTATTATTCTATCTAATTACACAGAGAGCAGACTTTAAGGATTTAAGATCCAGGAATCCACTGAGGATGACTGCGGATCGGGTAATTATTTATTGGTGAGTTTCAATGATAATCGATCATCCATTGCAGATCTAAGTATTAATAAACAGTCTRGGATAACTGAAGAACTTCAAAATTTAAATAACTATTGTTTGCCTTTTGAAACAAGGAGGAACACATTAAACTGATCCTGAACTATCTAATCATACACTGGTTAAGAACCAACATCTATCAGCTACAAAACTAACCAAGGCAGGTCAGACAAGATTTCAAATGGAACATTTTATTCGGGATTCATACAAAACAAGTTCAAAATTTTCATTTTTACACAAAAGTCAATATCCTGTTACAGATACAATGAATAATTAACCAAATGCAAATATGTCTATGAGCTGAAATAAGGTGAATACAAGGAATCAATAGTAGAATCAATCATAGTATTACATGGTGTATGTATATATATATACGAAAATAAGTCCCATGAATTGATGAAGCAATGTCCAATAGAGTTAATATTTGATAAAGTCAAGTGTTCTAWGATCTTGCAATCGAATTACCAAACGGTGCTTTAACACCCATCTCTTGAGCTTCTTGTAMCATTGAACACAGCCCACAACAGCAAGTCATAGCCAGGTCCATCACGAAGCTTCCTTGAATTCCTTTCTGCTCACGAATCTTTTCACGAAGCTTGGTAGCAAACCAAATATTAGCCACAGGTACCATGATCACAAGGCCGCACATTAGGCAATCGTCGCCAGCCGCTTCTGAAGTCTTTCCAAATGTGTAGCATGGAACGCAATACGTGGTTAGGCATAGGGGAATATCATTGAAACAACCGAATAAACCATTGCTCCAGTCAGACATTTTTGTAACCTCGAAGTTTACGAAGACGAATTTGAAACACTGTTTGGACTTTCGTTGCTGGTCGTTACGCTTTACTAATGTTACGGCACACCCTATGTAAGTGCCAAGTCGCGATATCACAAATCAGCTTTCCTATTGGCTGGCTGGCTAATCCCAGGGGTAACACGAAAATATTTTTATTTCGAAGCAGCAGGAGCCATCAAGCATTTCTTCGATGGAATTCACTTCCGTGAAATACAAACAACACGAAGTGAAAGTGTCTGAACAAATCAAAGATATTTAAATTCATTTAAAGAGCTGTATTTGACCGGTCATTCTAGTCTTTATTSTTTTATCGTTTTGAAAAGATTTGCATACAAGCTTGATGCGTGGTCCATCTTTTTGTTTTGCACAGTGAAAATTTGAATTYATTGACATCAAAGCGACAAACAGGGAATCAGTGGTGTTGCTTTGAATCAAAATATTAAGCATCAAAAACAATGTCAAGCATTCCAAGCCGAAAAAAAGCTTAACAAATGATGTACTCCTAGTATTCGCGATCAAKCCGAATYTTATCCTTTTGTCATTAAAATGTTTTGTTGAAAAGCTCTCTCCCAGTGCGCAAAATGCTGATACTTGAGTAAAACCATTTTCCGCGTATTCACATTATAATGTATGTAACTGTTTTAACCACAAAAACGAGGGGTGAGTTAAAATTTTCAAAGGCCATCAAATATTGTTTTGACTTCTGGAAAGCAGATGTAATGAACTTTCACTTTCACCAAGGCCACGTGAACTAGTTTGTAAAATGATTTTCTTTGATCGTACTGAGAATTCAACATGCCATGGCAGGTGGCGTAATTCTAACAATTCAATGCTTTTCTTTGAGTGATTCGTTTGCCAGATTAGCAAACTTAAGGCAAGACAATAAACGGAATTGACAATGACTTATCTTTTAAAATGAAATAATCGATACTSATAATTTATAAGTAAAACAAGTCTTATATCAACATTTAGCAACACTAAACTCCACAAAATTCCTGTATGTGGCAAAAGCGGTTGAGGTCTGGGCACGAAAAATGACATCATCAGACCGAAGGAGCTCGGGAAGACTAATAATTTGAGGACTTTATATTGTCAGACAATAATATAGCGTCTCTAAAGGAAGCCATGATTATAAATAATTCAGAGTGTGTGTCATGTCGAGACATGCTGACATGTATTGTGAAATCACAACGCTAGTTAGAGAAAATATTTTGACAAGAGAATTCTGCTTTGTCTACTGGCTCAGCAAACTGAAATGAGATAAGAATGAGTTCTAGCACGTTTCTACCTTTGCGATAGGGTAGCTTGATCATCGGAAATTTTCAAACTTGTCCTTTAGATACTGAAGTCTTACGATTGTGAGAGTGGCAATAAAGAGATTATTGTATTGCATCCCTGAACCTTTTCTATCTTAAAAGGATCTATTGTTAAAAGTTGTTTTCTCATTATCTCAAAATCTATCCCGCAAGCACACTTAAAGATGATAAGTCAAAATAACAGCACAAGTTTGAACCGAGTTAAACCTGATCATCCATTCAAATTTTTCAAGAGACAGATTTCAGTGTCTGTGAAAAGCGCGCAAAGGTTCGTGGATGCGCATAAGTCTTTCGTTTGCTGTCATTCAGAATTTTTGAAAAAACTATTTTTTTAAAAAAGATGCTTAAATAGATATCAGTTTAGACTTCAGTTTTTTTCTCGTGATTTTGGTCGAGATCCGTGATTTTGAAAGCTACAGTAATGAGTAATCCGTTCTGTTCCGCTAGTTTCTAGCTATRGCTAGTCAACGGTGACGTGTACTACTCCAAATTATAGTTCTGGAGAAGTAGTCCAACTATAAAAACKTTTGGGGACTTTATAGCCTGATGTTTATCAACTTTCAGCAATTTTTCTATTTTGATCCCAGGATCTCTGKCATGTTTCYTTGTTCGTTTGATAACTAATATAACAATTTCTTCGTTAGATTTGAGTTTCAGATATGTGCGGTGTATTTTAAATATGCCGGTGCAGCACAAAAATGTATCTTCTCAACATCAGAGTTTCTGCATTTGAAAGCAAAGTTCTCTTCATCATCACTGTCAGTTTTTTTCTCTTCCAACCATTTTTGATCAATGTCCTTCCTAGAAGACCGAACCAGCATGCTTCAAGCCTTTTCAGTTTAATTTAGTAATTGAGCTTCCGTGCAATAAAGAAGTCCTCAATCTTACAMAAGATTCTAGAATTTTCTTTCTTGTTTTCATTGTTACTCTATTTTATCATATGACCCGTATTTCGGACCTACGCGCGCTCTCACTGAAACCTTTGGAAAATGGTCACCTGATGGGGTCCGTACGCCTTTTCGCGACAGGTCCGTACAAACCCGTATTYTCCCGGCTTGAAGTTCCGCGCGCTTTTATTTATTTTGTTACATTAAAAAACGCTGTCATATGATAAAATGCTTATTGACTGAGTTAGGTCGGGCCGTACGGGAAAATATTTGGCTCTCGGTCATTTGTACGGACCTCGCTGCGCTCGTTCCGTACCGCATAACCTCGAGCCAAATATTTTCCCATACGGCCCTCCCACTCAGTCAATAAGTACATAGTCTGTGAGTACTTTTCATCTCCACCAGTTTCCAGCCTCCCGTCCGCAGTTATATTGTAAACCGCTGCAGCTTTCTCTTTTCAATCTAGAAAAACAGTCATTTCAAGCATTAGTCAATAATTCACGAGCAGATATCAATTGTAATACCATAAGATTATAGTTTGCTTAACTGAAAATCTTAAAGGGACACTGTCAATGGCACGCATGCCCGAGTAAACTTGAAAACACTAGGCTAGTGTTTTCAAGTTTATGACTCCAAGTTGGCGCGACATAAATCAGCTCATAAACGTAAACAGATCTAGAATATTCCAAAGTGTGTCAAAAGCACCACAAAATGATTTACCTCGAAGKTAATACTTTCAAAGTCCGTTAGAGGTGAGACTGTTACTGCGSATGTCATCCATTGACAGTGTCCCTTTAAAACTTTAGTTTATAATTGTGAAACTTTCAATAATGATGTTTACAGATTGTGGGACACTCCACCCCTCTCCCTCCATTCTCACTGAAGAATATACAAGTCAAGGATCGGATTGTATTTGTGTGGGTAATATATAGTATTCATAAAAAGCGATGAAGAACGATCTGACGTTTCCAAAATAATACAAAAATATTCAAAAATACTTGAATCTTGAATCCATMGAAGTGCTTTGGCTTTCAAGTTGAGCAGATTGTTCCTGTCAAATTGAAAATGCGACAAAAATGTTGTAATTCGCCAGAAACAGCTTTCGAAGGAAGCTACACAATGCCAATCCATAGGCCTTTTCTTTGCGCGCACATCGATATCAAGTGGTGACGTCAATAATCAATCACTGTGATAGTGTCCTTTCGCATCCGTTTTCACTTCGGGCTTCCTGTCCCTCCCCTCTCCTTTCGCATCCGTTTTCTCTTCGGGCTTCCTGTCCCTCCCCTCAAACGGCTGTTGCAAACGCTGTTTGAGGGGAGGGACAGGAAGCCCGAAGCGAAAACGGATGCGAAAGGAGACTATTACTGTGATGTCATCAGTAGTATTTCGTCTTGAAGCACAGCTTGAAAGAGGCGTCCTTCGGGCTTCCTGTCCCTCCCCTCAAACGGCTGTTGCAAACGCTGTTTGAGGGGAGGGACAGGAAGCCCGAAGCGAAAACGGATGCGAAAGGAGACTATTACTGTGATGTCATCAGTAGTATTTCGTCTTGAAGCACAGCTTGAAAGAGGCGTCTTTGCTTCTCCTAAAAACGATCCAGAATGTCAACAACTCAAAATAATTCTATACAGTTGTATGAATTGATCATGAGTGACAGCTTTCCATCCAAACAAATACCTTTTGATTTTTTTCAACCATATATGCAAAAAGGCCAAACTTTTGAGATTAATAGGGTTTCTTCAGATCTCAGTCCATCACAGATGGATTACATTATGGAGTCAGAGATCCATGTTACACGTTGTGGTATATATGTCTCCTTCACAAACTATGAAACTCAACCCATGCCAGTGAAATCGATTCTTATCAAACTCGACCAAGTTATAAAAGAGACAATTAACAAGCTATCAAGGTGAGTCATTTTTATTTATAAAAAAAAAAAAAATTATAGAATTCGAATTATATGAACCTTTAGTACTGAGATTGGGCTGCCTGTGCGTTCTCACTTTCATATTCYACAATATATAGCTATTTCAAAAAAGGTTGTCAGCTAAAATGGCTAATGTCAATGGTCGAACGGCGATTGCACGACCGAAAGTAGCCATGGGTTTTGGTAGTTGAAAGGCAATAACAACTGATTTATACTGTAAGATGGTCTGTGGTAAACACTGGATCATTTAGGCCCGGTTCATACGTCGAGCCAGCGTCGCGCCGAACCAAATAGTCAATTTGTGTCGACCCAAATCCATTTGGTACGTCGTTGATTCATACGTCGAACCAAATGCAGTCAAAAGCATAAGAAAAGGTGCGATAACACGCAATTTACACAATTATTATTGTNACGATAGCTCGACGTATGAATCAGCGTCGAGCTTTTGCCGTGCAGCACGACTGACTCTGCCGTGCCAATGCCGTGCTATGGTCGCGCCGAACTCAATTGATTCATACGTCGAGCTGTTCATGTGCTTAATTCAAACTATTTGGTTCGGCGCGACGCTGGCTCGACGTATGAACCGGGCCTTAGTCTCGATTTCTATGTAAGGCGAATCCAATAAGTGAATTTTTGTTTAGTTGAAGCAGTGCAACCACAGTCCCTTTCGGTCATGCATTCTCCCTTCGACAATCGCCGTTCGCCGTTCTCCCCGACAACATTTTTTGAAATAGTGTATTGTACTGACGTTGTTGTAGCATGAATTGACGACTTTCATAATGGCCGACACTAATTAGCATATCATTGTTAAATTCATAATGCTGACAAAAGAATACACTCAGATAATAGACATCAAAGCTAAAGATAACTATTCCTCATGAAAGTTTCAACTTATTATTAAATCCTTTGGGTAATTAGGCCTTAGTAAGAATTTCATGCAAATCCTTGTATTTTCATTCCTCCATAACTTCGTTAGTATTTAGTCCATATCTTTATCTTAAACTTTGCACAATTAATTATTTCTGATAGGTCAGTCAATATGACAGTGCTGAATATTTCCTCAATATTGCCAATCATATAAAATCGATGGTAGGCACTTATGAAAGTGGTCTACTAATATCTACTAATGTCTACTTTTTAATTTATATCTCTTTAAACTAAGCCTTATTTAACAAATTACAATGGTTAGTTAGATTAGATTAAAGAGAAATAACATAATGTAGTCGAGATTGCTGATTTCATAAAACGAGCAGAGAGACTTTTTAAATTGCTAACCTCATATCGTTGCCTATCTCTCTTCTTCCACCTCATATCCCGGGTTCATATCGCTCCATATCAATCAAAGGATATTCAGATCTCATTTACACTGGAAAAAATCGCGCGCCATAAAGGTTGTAAATTTGATGGAAATATGATGTAAGTGTCCAAAATGATGTAAATTTGATGGAAATGATTTACATCAAATTTACATCATTTTGGACACTTCCATCATATATACATCAAATTTACAACCTTTATGGCGCGCGACTTTTTTCAGTGTTAGTCTCACTGGCCACATGAGGAGCCCTACATATGTCAAAGATGTTCTCTCCCTTGACCTTATTAGGAACGTTAGCGCCTGGCGGGAACCCAAGTTTACTGACGTCATAATGCAAGCCATATAATCATGAGACAAGCACGAGCTGATCACGAGCTGTTAATTCACAATAGTCGTTCTTCCTTCTGGTTTCTGTAACGCACCAGGCAATTATAAATATATGGAGTTTTATCATCATCTGCATCATCTTTTGGTCATACCATTCGTTGTACTTTTTGGATATCTTGCTTTCATGAGCAGCTTTTTAGATTTCAACTGGATGTCAAAGATATCTGTGATTCATTCTGCACCATGTCAAAATAGATGTGACGTCATTCTCTTAAACTCATCATCTGCAGCCGACAAGTTTGATTCTTTCTCCTTAGACATATCACAAGCCTTGTTGGTTCACTTTCATTGGAACAATTCAGTATTGAGGATCGAGACACCAAAAGACCCGCAAGTCATTTTGGATCCTGTGAATCTTGTTTGGGTTGAAGACATTACAGCACCATTTCTTTCCCTTGATTTAGGTTTCAATGTTTATTCACTTACTACTTTAAAAAAGAAAGTACATAATATGTCAGTAATGGTAGACTTTGATTCGCTGAAGTTCTTAAAGAACATAAGCTACAGTTGTGTTACAGCGAGTTTGGCTTCAGCATTCTTAACTAACGTCAGTCAACAAAGAGGTGTATTGTGCTACGTCGTCAATAATTCTCTCTCGGATGTCCCAGTGAAATATAAATGTTGCAAAAAAACCTTCCAAACAGAGCAAATTGAATGTGATATTCCTGCCTCCATAAACCCTCACATGTCTGGAGTTTTCAATATTATAGTAGTTGTGTCAACAATATTTTTTTTATGTTTTCCCTCTGTTTTCATCGTTAGCTTCCCTGATGAAAATGACAGTTCACAGATTCTGAGTGCCAACGTCCAAGTTCGTAATCCTTTGTATCGTATTGCGAACTTTGCTGTCCAAAAACTATGGCATTATTCCGCTAAATATTATTTTGCAAATGTGATAAGAAAACTGTTTATTGGTTTTTCACTCCCTATGTTGTTCTATATTGACTTGGGGCTTACTCTCTACACCGCCAAATATGACATACCAAAGATGTTTAATGATGCCGTGAGGAAAAGATGGAAGGAAGAGAAACTGTCTATGGTAGTGTTTGCAATTGTGTCGTATAGTATTTTAGTCCTAATTTTTTCTTTACTTCCACGAACTGAAAACCTAAATTTTTCTTTGGCACCTGCTAAGGTTCGAGATGAACATCAAGAGTATGTGCATTACCTATATTCCTGCCAGAAGAAAGACTTTGACTTGGACTGGACGAAACCTTGMTCCTTGACTGGAAAAATGTTCAAGAAATTATGTTTTGTATGTCGAGATTCCATTTTCTTGAGGATTTATTCATGTCTAGTCAGCAGTTTTCTCATAATGATTGTATTTCCCATAATTGCTGTGTTAATTTTCATTGGTTATGGTTGGTACGTCTCACCGTTTAGCCGAAAGATGAGCCATCTCTTTTGCCATATAAGTATCTACTTTCTGTGGCTTTCATGGCACTTCGGTGAAGCGGAACGTTGTTTAGGAGTGGTACTTGGTGGTTTTGTAGTTGTAGCGAATATATCGTTTGGAATTATACTGTTCCGTTCACTAATATTAATCTCAAGACTCATTACATATCTCTGCATGGGAATAGTGGCTAGTAAAAATTACTATTTGCCTCTTATTGCACTTTTTAGCCTTTTTGTTTTCTATATTTGGAACTGTTTTAGCTCAGTTGGAATGGCATATAAAGAACTTCTTAACCAAACATTCGACAAGTGTAAAGAATACAACAAAAACAATAGAAAAATCATATTAGTCAATAACAAAGGGCTACCAAAAATTCCACAACTGAGCGACATTTTTCAGAAAGTTGTCGACGAGATCATGCCATTCAGCAAAGCCTACACAGTAATGTGCGTGAGAATTTCAATAATTGGATCGTTTTTGCTCTTAACCTATTACTCCATTTTGGTTTATGGAAAAACAACTCTGAACGATTTGACAAAAACTTTGGCTGTTTCGTTGGCCGGGCTAATTCCAAAATTCGTCGAGATATTTCATAGTGACAGCTCAAAGGATTTGATTGACAAAGAAACTGAGTATAGGATCAATAAGATAATACATGACTTTTGGGACTTTGGGAATGCACACGCGGTAAGAGAAGTTGGAATTCAAACAGAAATGAACCCTTTGGACGATAACAGACAGCAAGGAAACCCTGGAGAAACGTCTGTTGATTCAGAAAACCGTAATTCTAATATCTGCACCAGTAGAAGCACTAGTTTTAGAGGGTCAGAAAGAGAGTCTCAAGGATCTTGTCAGTTAGTGCATGTAGATAGTAATCCAACAAGTATCAATTGTGATCCAAGCAATGAGATGACTCCATTGCTCCACTCACATTCAGGTCCGATGTTCGATAATAGTATATGATAGAACGAATATTCGTGGATAGACCTAGGAGGAGGGGGGATGTACAAACGTGAAGGTCGTACTCGGCCGTACACATTTCCACTATTTTTGCTTAATTCAATGCGACCATGAATATACGCTTGTTTAGTTCCCTATCAGATTGCTGGATCTGTAATAGTCTATAGTTTGATGGATCCTAATAGTAATTAACGGTTAGTCTAGCTATAGTGCATGTCGGTACATTGATTCAAACTGATTTAAAACCTCGCAAAGGTCTATGATGCGACATTAAAACTGAGATCTTTGCTAGTGTTGGGTTGCGATAAAGTGCTGATGAACTTGATCAGTTCTTTATATCTGATATAGAACTGATTAATAAAACATCAGTACTTTATCGGATATAAAGGCCCATCATGTGATCCAATAGTTCGATGCTCATTGGACTAATAGCTCATGCCATTATGAATGAGTTCTAGAAGTACCACATGCAATACCGTGAAATCCCAAGGAGTATGAAATTATTTCAAACTCCTTGCATTTTGAAAATAAGCTTCAAGTACTCCAAGCTGTAACCTTCAGTCCCTCGCAATCAATGGGACCCATAGTAATGATAACCGGGTCCTAAACAATCTACTAAGTCATCTATGTCATGAGTTAATTATATTCCTGGTCGGCGCTGTGGTGTTCAAGGTAGACATAGTAAGTACATATAATGATATTTTTCTACATTATTATCAAAAATAAATCCTGACTTTAATCCCGATGCTTAGTCCTCCATGGCTGAAACGGAAAACTTGACTCAAAAAAAAGTAAATAGAAATATTAAAAAAGTGAAAGTAAAAAAATGAACAAATACTGAGAAACAATCTGAAGATATTTTTATATGATATATTGTATGCAGATCAAACTGCGACTTTGATTGTAAGCCTTCCCTGGGGAGGGTCGGGAGAGGGAGAAAGGAGCAGGTGATCATGACTGACTCTTAGGATGAGTATTTAACAAAGATACCGATTTCAAATCCTGCAATGAACGTTGAGGCAATATTAGTCGAAGCAAAAGCTTTGCCATTGTGGCCAAACACGTCATTGTGAAACATGTCAGTCAAAAATCGCTATGATCTTTAAAGTACAGCTGAATCAATAAACGTTCTTCCCCGTAAAACTAACAAAGTGGTTTAACTATACAAATAGATCAAAAGCACATTGACCGATGCGCAAGCGACAATTTCTCTGTACAAAAAGACGATTGATGTCTGGTGAATGCAATACTTCTTGGTGTACGGGGATATTTTTGATTCGTTCTTTATGGTAAGGACATTTGTAGGTATACCTTTTTGACGTTGTTAATGTTTCAATGGGATTTAGTTCTTTTTACGCTCACTTAGTTATATTAAGTCACTGTCTTAAAAGCTTAGAAACTAGATTTTCAAAAGTTAAATGTGTGGCGTATATCATGTATCGATAACAATACGTAACTGATATTTTGCAGGATGTGAATCAACGAGAAAAAATAGAAAATTGTAACTACTAGTTACAGTGCTTTTTTACTGGCATCTAGTCCAATCATAGTCAAAGTAAACTTTATATCGCGGGATTTCCTAGAAAACATGATTACCTATGATAATTGCACTCTATAATATTTCTCTGTGATTACGCGTTCTTTGATATCTAATTATTGTACAACATTATTATTATTGCATTGAAAGCAAATACAAAGAATTTAAAGAAACACGTTTGTGTACATGGCAACAATTTGATAATAGTATGGCATAATAAATGAATAATGAAGTTTGACTAAAACAATAGTATAGAATTGTGATCTCAATCGCCCACTCCTCATATCTTGATCATTGAAAAACAAAAAGGGAAGATTCATAGTGTCCAAAAAATGACCATCTCTATTATAAACGACCATCTCTATATAAACGACCATCTCTATATAAACGACCATCTCTATATAAACGACCATCTCTATATAAACGACCATCTCTATATAAACGACCATCTCTATATAAACGGATAGATCGTTTTCTTTAGTCCACGTTGCTTGACAGTTGAATTAACGGGTTATGCTATATATTTCTTCAGTTCAAAAAAATTAAACAAATTAAGATTCCGCAATAATGCGAAACCGTGACTTTTACAATCCAAAATTCAAGCCAGTTTTCCGAGAATATTTTGAACAGATTTATTTTTTCAGCGGATCTACTGAACTTCTACTTTGCGTGCATTTAATTTAATGTCATAGCATGTCACAGCAATATTGTAATATAATGAAAAAAACATAATGAAATTCATGATTATCATGGGATATTTCTTCTAAGGGAGATAATGTCAAGCTAAGTCAACCTTTTGTTTGTTTGGGATTCTCTGTGAATGTTACAGGTAATACTAGCAAACCTCATTACAAGATTGTCGATCGATTTACAAAAAATATTGTTTTTGATATTACTTAGCCATTTTCATGCATTATCCATTTTTTCTCTGCTGTACGGACATGGAATATCCTCTTTCATAGTTTATTTGCATGACAGCTGTCAGTTTGATCCTACTGAATTTTTAACTGTAACAATCACTTTTTTCGTAGCTTGAAAAAAGACAAAAACATTGGTTCCACTGCTTACTTTTGTTTAACATTATTAGATTTCGTTAACCAATCACAAGGATCAAATGGATTATTTTATTTCTCACTTTGAACGCAGCTGTAAGTAAAAAGTATTTGATTCTCTTGTCAAAATGATCAGATTCAAGTCTTTTATATTGATAGAAACCAATTAAGGAAGTTTGTGTGTGTTTGTTCATTTTATTCACAGCTGAACAGACTCACTAGGAAACATAAAGTTCCGTTTACTTAGTCGATGAGCCGGAAAATTAAAATGTTCTGTTTTTGAAAACCGAGATTAAGCTTTATAATTACAGTTGCTTTAATTAAATCTCGTGGTACGATTTACAATACTTTAGCGAAAGAACAGGAGTCAAGAATGTAAAATACGATGAAAACAACTATCCAACAAAATAACCACCAACAACAAACAGCAAAGAAGTCAAAGCTGTGACAATTCAGCGCTCATTCTGAAACATGTTTCAATTATATTGCACTATAGTTTAACTATGAGACACTGGTAGTGTCGGAAATAATAGCTGAAAAGATAGTCAGTCCTTAATCTACTTTCTTAGAAACACTGCATTTTCAGATAGGTTTCGCCCGCATACTAAAAACCTTTTACATCCCCATCCAATGAAAACTCGTCTTATTCAATTTGGCTCGTAGCTCGAAATAAGAAAAAGGTATTTCAAAAAGAAAAAAAATATTACTTAATGTTAAATTAGATGTGCTTTAATTTTCAAAAATTTCCGAGAGATAAAATCGCTTTCTCAGTCAAAGTAAATAAAGCCGACAGTTACTAGTGACAAATTAAACAACGGACAATATTTTTTCATGATGACAATCTGTGTGGTCAGCGCATTTGAGATTTATATTTTTAGATACGTAGCTTTTGAGTACAGAAAAAATAGACTTTGAATATCTTCGTTATTGTTCGAATGACTGGGTTTCCTGTGTAATTACGTCACTCTTTGCACGTCATCCTCTCCTTGTGTGATTACGTCACGGTTTATTCTTCCCACTTCTTCCATAATGGGCACGGAAAAAAATTAAAATAAGTGTTTGATCTGTTGAGAGCCCGCGCGGGGTTCCATACAGGAACCAAACAAAAGGGGGAATGAACGATTTGGGAATCATCGATGGGAATAATTTTGCTGAAAAAGGCCCCGAAAGTTTCTTACACAAAGTTTACATGGCACATGATGATTTTTTGATATTTTGATAGGCAAGCAGTCGCAAATTGTCATCTTTTTTGCGATCTGGAAACACTTTTTAATATACAGTTGACCAGGTGAGCTAGAACCCATTATTGAAGTAGATTGATGAAGTATTGGAGTTGACCATATCTTGATTATTGTCAAAGTAGGTAATGAAAATGTTTAATCTACTTAGATTTTCGTGTGTTCTTATTGGCGTAGATTATCCTTTGCCCCAGTGTTATTAGTAAATGTTTCCTTGCACTACTCTTGTGTTTATTAACTCCAATTGACAGCATTAGGTTAAGCTTATGAAAGAAAGTTATTAACATTGCTCTTTGAAGAAAGTAATAAGTTATTGTATATTTGTGGGAGTACATGTGATATGAGCTCAAGAAAGTTTAGAAGCTAAACTATATGTTTTTCCTATCGTGCAATAATTTTCTCTCAAAATTAGTCTGAAATGCACATGTAGTGATTCTAGTAATCATTTCACCAATCATTCGCCAAGTACATCGTTCAGTATATAGGTTGTATATTGCATGCATGACCGGTTAGTTGATTGCTTATATGAAAACATGGGATGGTAAGTACAGTGTAGTGCAATTACTTTTTCCTTTAAAGAATCTAGAATTAGGGATATCCGAATTTTATCTTTTAACCTTGCTTGTAAATTTTAGTCTTCACTCGATTTTCTTTACAATGTAATACGGGTCGGCTCATCTGCTCAAAAGTTTGCAGCTGCGAGCTAAAATACAGCGGTTGAGATATCTTAGATATATCTCAAGAAAAAACCATGTTAGCTTAACGAAGCATCATTTATCAGTTACCAGATAGTCTAACTGCATGATTTGGAGAAAGTCTTGGATCTCTATTGAAAAATGCATATTCTTTGATTTCCAGATAAATTCAAACGAGCTTACACCATGATTAAGAGATGAGCACTATAAGATGAGTTCAGCTGTTTGAAATCGTCATCGTACTTGAATTGTACTGTACTACGCATGCTCAGTAACGCCGCTTGGTTTACACCACACTTCTATGGCATACAACTGGCTACATCAAACAATGAAGCAGGTACAGAAATAGTTATTCATGGTTGTATGTACCCCAACAACCTTCTTCCCCCTGGATCGATAAAAACACTCATGGGATACCTCAATGTAACACAAAAATATGGCACTGACAACTATGAATGTTTTTTACTTTTTCATACTAAAATGACTGGTATTGAGGATTATTGAACCCTCTACCGTCATTTGTCTGTGACGAACAACGTACACAATGATCTATGAAACGTTTATTGAAATTTTTGAACCTTGAAAGTAAGGGAAAAAGGAAGCAACTAAATAAATGAAAACTTTTAAATATGGTGGCGGTGTTTTTGTTGTTTTTTGTTTTTTTTTTTGGGGGGGGGGTTGTATTTCTATATTTTTTGACCTCTGAAAAGGGGGGTGGCTAGCCACGTCTACCCCTGGGTCTGCTCATGTCATATGAAAATGTTAGCCGAGTGATATTCATGCAACAGACTTATCAAGCTAATGGACAATTACATAATAAGATGACAATTGATGTATTGCTCTGATTAAGAGTTTTTTCTTTGAGAACCTGCTGAGATATTTTGTCAGCATTGAAATTCCTATAAGGTCCTATTATCCTATGACGTATTGATGCAAATCAATCTATACCTATGTTTAAGAAATATGAACAGCTTAGCTTTTTTGTATTATGTTTGTTATTTAGAAATACTGCATAAATATAACAAAAGTTCAGGTTCACTCAAGCGACTTGATCTCATGGCTTCAGTTAATGGTCAGGTTTAGGAAAAATATAGGGTTAGGCAATGCATATAGCTCTGGTTCGAATCTTAAGTCTTTGAAAATTTTCTAAGTTCTTCTTCACATAACAGGGACATGAGCCCGGGGGGGGGGACTCCATAAAAAAGGGCGAGGGTCCTCTTCGTCCCTTTTAGGGTTTGAAATCAGTGTTTTGGTCCCGCATTCTATGCACACATCAGCGCCGTGTACATGCACAACCATATATGGAAGTCGTACGACAGATCCTTGTCGCTTTAGTAACAATAGCAAATACACAAGGGAAACCATGTTTTTATGTCTTAAAAATAATTGAAAATAAAGGACAATGTTAATAAAGATCTTTGTATAGTAGTTTCAGTTGCGAATGATAGTGATAGTCACTAAATAAAAACTATTTCAAAGTAACTATAGCTAGGTTATATTTCATGGACGTAGAGTCAACGAACTTGCACCGTGAAACATAATCAAAGAAGCAGCAACTATAAGTTTTTATTTACTGACTTATTGTATCTAGGGTAGATATAAATGAACAAAAGCAATTCTTGAAAACAAAAGGTAAGAGAATTGGAAGCTACCCAACGTTATTAAAGCTACCTAATGAGGAGAAGGAGGAATTAATTTGTTAAAAAATGTCCCACCCGCAATGAAAGGAATAAAGAGGTGGTTTAGTTCTTTGTCAAACGCAGAGGAAAGATGACGGGACGGGCTAGAACTTATGATGGCAAATCGAATTTGAAAGAACATAAAAAATGAATTGCCCTATGTGTGTACATATGAATAAAAGAACGTTTGATAACATAACATTCCAAGTAAATAAGGATTGCCTTCACATGAAATAAAGTTGTCAAGTCTCATTGTTCTGGTTCAGTGCTGTCTATTATTAGTCAGTATAAATAGACACCGTAATAGTTGCTGTTTATTTTGATTATATTTCACGGTACAAGTGCGTTGACTCTATTAGAATTACAATAATAATAAGAACTTACAATACTTTCGGTAATTAAGAATATTAGCTCAACACACCTGCTAGTGACAATGTTTGCTTTACTCTTCGCCCGAAGTTCGCTTTAGCAAAGTATGGACAATAATAATCCCATACTTTGCTATTACCGAGAATGCTTCCTTGAGTGACGAACTTTTCATTTCTAAATATGAATTCCTTATTTGGCCGTACGTCAACAGAAAAAAAAAACAGAAAGTCGACCCTGTGCATTGAGTTAGAAGGTTCTCACTGGACGCCGCATATCACTTTGAGGTAGGACAAGAGTCGGGCAGCGTAAAATCCTATTTTTTGTCAATTTTTCGTTGGTGGGACAAATTTTACTTTTGCTACATGACTTTTGATAACAATCGCTAAACTGCTAAACACAAATTATTCGTGTTTATACAGACAATCTCATTAATGTTGTTCTGGCAAAAAAGTCATTTCCATAAAAATATCTTCAAAATTCCCGGGAAGGATTTCAGTTTACAGTTCACTAGTGAAAATATCACATTCGGAGTTTCTCTATATAGTGGATAGGTTTGTTTAGGACATGTAATTTGCTGTCATATGTATAATACTATGATCATCTCGGATTCTTTTGACTTCCGAGGGATGTTCACAAGCGAACATCCCTCCCTCATGAATAGCATGAGGGACGATTACTAGTAATCATCCCTCATGCATAATAACATGAGGAAAGATTAGACTAATCGTCCCTCATGTTATTCATGAGGAACGGAAGGCAAAGGAAACCTTTGCTTCCTATAACTGTCTTCGTTTTATCGCTACAATGAACGGTCTCGTTATCGTCTCAGTCACACTGAAATGTGGGATGATTTTTGGGCCAAATTGACCGAGTAGCTCTGGTTCCGAGTCTCTACTTCGTACCGCTGAGCATGTGCACTTGACGAATTTCAATGTTTGATAATAGTTGATAAGTTTCTTGGCATTATGCTTGCAAATATAAAAACAACTTTTCGGGGTTGAAGTTAACTTCAGCATTGAATAGAACTGAAAAGCAATTGTTTAAAAGTTCATTGTGGGAAATCAGTAACAATGGTCGGATTACCAATATCATTTTGTACTTTTGTTCTGCGAAAACCTTTTCAATGACACAATAAAGTGCTTGATACTCTTAGAACAGTGCGTATCCATTCTTTTCATGTCACATTCCAATTCATGTATGAATTGTTTGTTGCAATGTTTAAATTACTTCTGATTGAAAACATTGGAGCATACAAAAAAACAAGAATTCAAATTCACTCAAGTTCAACTTCAATTTTTTCCTCGGAAATCACGGGTATTACAAAGTAATAGCATGGCTCTGAGGGAGATTAGGGATTAAATGTCCCTGAAGCCGAGGGCAGATAAGTAAAAGTCCAACTTCGCTACGCTCACTCGTGATCTTTTCAACTCGAAGATAAAATCCGTATCTCCGTGGCCCATCCTCTATATAATTAATTGCTGTTACTATATCTTCCCTGGTTTTTTAGTTTATTTTGATTATCATTCTTTTTCGCAGCTTTATATTATTTAGTTTTGAAATAACATTTACAACAACTGATGCATGGTAGTTGTAGGACGATGGTAACAATCCTCCAGTACTATGTACTTTGTTTTGAACATATAGAAATTTCTTTTGCTGAGACTTCATAGGACTTATGAACGACCTTCATTGTTGATCTTTTTACCTACTTTGTCCTTTACGCACTACAATTTAGTCATTTTAGCTTCAATGAATTCAATGTATTGAAGCTAAAATGACTAAACTGTAGCCGGTGAAATGACAAATGGTGCTGAAAGAAATATAGCTTATTTACCGGCTGGGAGGTCCGTATACTAGAAAAACACTGCCCGAGGTCTTGACAGTACGGAACGAGCGCATTGAGGTCCGTACATAAAAGACCGAGGGCAGTGTTTTCCTATATGGACCGACCTTTAGCTGGTAAATAACATTCATTTTTTTTTTCATTTGTATTTTATGCAACTTTGTTGGCAGCCTAGCTGCAGGATACCGTGGACCGGGAAGATCGTGAAAAACCGGACCGCGCGTAAGCCAATCACAGCGCACGAATGACTAGGATACCGGACCGAAAAAAAATTTATTTATTGACACTCTTGACCTGTCTCTCTATAAGGCAAATACAGGAATGACATCCAAGCCTATAAACAAATTGAGAAACAGCTTTTTATTTTTTTATTTTAGTCTCTAGTCAGTATTTGGTATGTTAAGGAAAAATGGAACAACACGTTTATTCAATTTTTATCTGATTTTATTTCATTAGCGGTGACCTTCACTGGTGACTTTACAGCTGTAAGAGTACCGTAAATATTATTTTATCATAGACATACAACGATAGAATTAATTATATCGTTCACTATTTTATTATATGATTACAAAACAACAACTTTTTCCATAAGATAGTAGATATTTTTCCAAATTTCTCTAATAATATATAACTATAGTGTCTTTTGCTATAACATTAAATATCTAAAGTTCATAAAACGTTGCAAAGTCTCCCACATATCCATGATAAACTACAGTAGACCCATCTAGAGGCAGCTTATCTTTTTCGTCTCTTCTGGGTTTCACTTCCTCAAAACCATCAATGTAACCAAACATACTTAAAGGCTTCTTTAGTGTTTGGCTCGATTTGTTAATGGCCGGTCTTTGGTCGTTTGTGGATTGTGTTTGATCAATCCTGAAAGAGAAAAATATACAAAATTTAGGTTTAGGATTCTACAGCGATTAAAGATCGAGCGCGCTATGTTGGGTTTCCTGTGTTTGGTAATTTTTCGAGCACATGTACATACCAAACATTGAACGACCTTTTGGCCGATGGGACTTTAAAAACCGGCATTTTAGCCATGCGTTGCTTTTTCCATCTAGTGAAAAAGATCATAATTAAGGACAGGATGAGATGAACGATTAAGACAAAGATGGAAGACTAGTTTGCGCGCGCGTTTACTAATTTGCTTGACAAGGTGCGCGTGCGCAAGCTTTATCATTTTTTCCCTCCCCAATCCCCTCGCTTTAAATGAGCAAAAACTTTTAAAAGACATCCCTCCGCTACATTCATTTTCAAAATTGCATATAAACTAACATACTTTTTTACAACGCTGGTCAGACCAATGAAACGTATTTGAGTTTTCATTTCTGATTTGCTTTACTGATTGTCAAAAGTTTTCTGTTGAACGTTTGAATGTTCGTAAGCAATTGAACGTAATCTCGCGCTGTTGGGTTTTTATACCCAATGAAAAGCGCGCGCTATTTGCGCTTCCCACGGCCAATCACATTAAAGATGAAATGTCGTGGAAATGTCGTGGATCGCGGTATCTAACAAAACCAACCTCGCTATGGCGCGCGAAANTCATTATCCATTAGCCTTTCTCTAACATTTTCATTCGATTCCCATAAGATAACAGTTCAAAGTTCATAAAACGTTGCAAAGTCGCCCATATATCCATGATAAACTACAGTAGACCCATCTAGAGGCAGCGTATCAACTTCGCTTTCGTCTCTTCTGGGTTTCACTTCCTCAAAACCATCAATGTAACCAAACATACTTAAAGGCTTCTTTAGTGTTTGGCTCGATTTGTTAATGGCCGGTCTTTGGTCGTTTGTGGATTGTGTTTGATCAATCCTGAAAGAGAAAAATATACAAAATTTAGGTTTAGGATTCTACAGCGATTAAAGATCGAGCGCGCTATGTTGGGTTTCCTGTGTTTGGTAATTTTTCGAGCACATGTACATACCAAACATTGAACGACCTTTTGGCCGATGGGACTTTAAAAACCGGCATTTTAGCCATGCGTTGCTTTTTCCATCTAGTGAAAAAGATCATAATTAAGGACAGGATGAGATGAACGATTAAGACAAAGATGGAAGACTAGTTTGCGCGCGCGTTTACTAATTTGCTTGACAAGGTGCGCGTGCGCAAGCTTTATCATTTTTTCCCTCCCCAATCCCCTCGCTTTAAATGAGCAAAAACTTTTAAAAGACATCCCTCCGCTACATTCATTTTCAAAATTGCATATAAACTAACATACTTTTTTACAACGCTGGTCAGACCAATGAAACGTATTTGAGTTTTCATTTCTGATTTGCTTTACTGATTGTCAAAAGTTTTCTGTTGAACGTTTGAATGTTCGTAAGCAATTGAACGTAATCTCGCGCTGTTGGGTTTTTATACCCAATGAAAAGCGCGCGCTATTTGCGCTTCCCACGGCCAATCACATTAAAGATGAAATGTCGTGGAAATGTCGTGGATCGCGGTATCTAACAAAACCAACCTCGCTATGGCGCGCGAAAAACGTTTAGTTTTGACCAATCAAATTGAACATAAAATGTCGTCGATCTTGTTTCAAAGTTTTGCTCTGAGTTTTGATACTCTTTTTTTTAGACATATTGATTGATTTAACATTAAAGGTCTCTTAAAGGACTTAGAAAATTTCATCTTGAAGTAATAGATCTAGGTTTAAACTAAAATCTTTAGTCCTTTACGCACACAAAAACCTGCAATTTATTGAGAAAACTCGTCTTGCGAACTTCATTATGTGTAAGAGTTACTAATTAACTAATCTTGATTATTGGATGTTTCATTTTATTTTTCGTTTTCAAACATCAGTTGATTAATGCAAAATTAACTTCAAATCTCGAACTCTGACAGAAAACAACACAGCATTCCCAGCTTTTTGAGACCGTCATTCCTTTCTCACGAGAAGGAACAGATGAAACCAAATTAACAAACAGCATATTGCAATGCATCGACTTGTGGAAATTACAAAAGACCAGCATGTTTACAAGCGAAATACGAAGAACCATTATGAAAATTCGATCAATAATCCAATCAAATTTCGAAGTTTAAATTCAAATTTGATTTCAATAATGTAATGAGAATCGACCAAGAATGGAATCAATTGAATAATGGTGTTTTGAATGGAAAAGTCAATTGAATAATGGTGTTTTGAATGGAATAGTCAATTGAATAATGGTGTTGAAGGGGTGCGCTTCATGTCTTTTGACTATAAAAGGATTTGACTTCTGCAATACTTTCTTTACTGTCAACCCAGATGTTTCCACTACTTTCATCTCTACCTTTGCTTCTTTGATGTCTTTCTCAAGTGTTTTCTTTAGGAGTTCTGCATGATTCCGGTGTTGCTGGAACAAAAATAACACTAGCAAAGGTCTTGTTCCCAGCCTTGTACCACGTTTTCGTTTCGCTCTCTCTTTCTGCCTTCTTCCACTCTTTTTTTCTATAAAGAGGACTTTTTTCCTACAAAATGGCGGGAACTCTTATTATTGCCGAGGCCATGCATTTAAAAAGCCATTTCTCGTAATCAGCAATCTTGAGCCGAGAGTCTTCACGGGTAAAAAGTGTCAAAAGTGCGGGCTCTGCATACGAGATTAGTACTCAGAGGAAATCTTCAGCACCATGAATGAGGACAACGTTGATTGGTTCGTTTACTTATAGGGGAACGCATCGTTATTTATCGTATATTTTATCCACAATGATTTAACCAACTTAGTTTGTGATGGTCGTTTTTCATGCATTTAAACTTTGGAATTGTCTACGTTTTCATAGTAAGTTTTCTATTATGTTTATCTTTTTTAATTTTTATATTCATTTCTTTCTTCTTCCGGATTATCCCCGTCTCTTGTAAATAACGGAAAATATCCTAATGGGGGTTCGTACAATAAATAAAGTTGAATGAATATAATAATGTTAGACTGTAGCTTCCAATCATTTACTCTTAAAATCATATATGCTTTTAGCACTATTTCGAAATCCAAGATGGCGTATCTAATATAGCGGCCTAAGAATATTTTAATATGTTTTATATACATTCGTTTGCGAAAAAAACTGATTTGATTGATATTAAGTCTTTTGTATTCTGTCTCCGACGGTGTGGATACGACGTCCGATCCTGCGTACTTTTTACATTTAGAACTGAGTCTAAGATTCAAATCTAAGCTGGTAAATAGCATGAAAACAGAGTAAATAGCATTTACTTTATGATATTGATATTTTTTCATGCAAATGTTTCATCACTGCTTCCTACATTTCCCGCAGTGTGCTTGCTATTAAAGCTGTTAATTTTAATTATGTTTAACTTTGCACTTCATCTCAATTGGATCACGTTTCCTTTACTTTCAATGTTTGCTAATGACTGGCTGAATTAAAATAAAAGTGATACGCCATATTTGACGCTAAATAGCTGAAAATCAGGACGTACGTCCCGCTACTTCACTTTACTCGCGAAATGAAAAGATTATGATAACAAAAACAATACCTGATTCTTTCACCCCCCTCAAAGGTTACACAACCCGCACGAAAGTGTACCACACCTGTGCCTAKTATTATTAAATGATTGATATTAGTTGCGAGTTTTCTTAAGTTCTTGAATAAGCATACTGATGAATACAACTTAGTTTACTGACTATCAACCAAAATTCTTCACGAGCGATTTTCGTCAGGCAGCATAAAGTTATGTAACTGAAAACTTGAAATAGCTTGTAATGGCCTGGAATAGGCGAAATTTCAAGACGCACGTGTAAGATGACAACAGCTGTTGTTGTGATTTTTAAGTCAATGTTTTGTTTTCTTCAGACCAGGCACTTCCCGGCAGCCAGCTACCAGCGACAGAGAAAAACAACGATGGAGTCTATTTATCGAGTAATGTTTCTCATCTCGTTCGGGTTTGGTCTGATAAGCTGTTCAGATATTACAATCTACATTGGTGGTTTTGTAGAGTTGAGTACNAAACCTTTTGTTAGTGTTGTGAAATGATAATAATATAAGAACTCAAAGAGTACTTCATAATATTATAATCATGTTCAACACTTGAAATGGGAGTTGTGCACGTTTTCGGCCGGTAGAGTTTTGACCTATCTTTATATTTTTTGAATCATAGTCGGATGCACTCCATATTCAGCTGTTCTTCGGTTTTAAGACGTAACAATAATTTCTTATGAGATATCGATCATGAATTAATCTATACAACCAGCTCATTCGTTCTCAAAATGCATTCATGCTACAAGGTGTGTTGAATTACAGCTGTCATTGATGCAGTTTGTGTCAATTAAATTATAATTCCATCATGTCTTCATTTTTTTTAGTGCTCGTCTGCTTACACAATCAAGGCCCTGCTTGAGCACATAACGTCACCGCATATCAAAATGGCTATTGTAGGTCCCGGATGTTCTATTTCAGCCAAACCTGTTGCCGAATCAGCACATTTTTGGAACCTCGTCCAGGTTAGATAGTTTGGGCATAAAAAGTACTCTTGAAAATCCAAAAGAGATTAACAAATACTGATTTAATAGCTTAGGGACTATGCAATAATTACCAGGAGGGGGGGCGTTAAACCAGAGGGGGTGCATTACATAAAATTGATGGCAAGATAGGGGGAACTTAAAGTAAAATTACCTAATTAACAGAGGGGGGGCCTTAAGTTTCAATCAAAATTTTCATAATTTTCGATGTCTCTCAAAATGCTGGAAATCGCATTTCCAATAGTTATTTCTTTCAAATTTTGAGAAATTTTGCTTCACCCTCTCAATCTCCACTTTCATGCGTCAGGTCGTTTTGTTTCGATTTTTTCCGGCTTCCATGCAGTGCTACATAATGGTCCTGGTCCTACAGGTTGAGGTCTGAGGACTGATAATCTGCTCACGTAAAACCATCTTATTACAGAAAACAGAAACAGATCAACAAACTAAACGAATGATTGTTGTAAAATACGTTGAAATACTTTTTCCATGCAGGTTGCATATGGGGCGGGAAATTCCCGACTGACTGACAAGAGTAAATATCCTCTGTTCTATCGTGTAAACTCACCAGAAACAATCACAAATACAGCGATGGTAGCAATTCTCAAGTACTTCAATTGGAAGAAAGTCACCATTGTCAAACAAGATGTATCAATCTTCAATGACGTAAGCACCGCCAGGCCAATATGGCCAATATCCGATTTGCATTATGGCGTCATTTACTACAACTACCAGAATGCTTTGCCAACTTTTTTTTGTAATGCAATTAGTGGCAATTGTTTTATTAATCTCCAAGGGGATTAAAAATCTGAATAACAATGAAAATGCGCAAGGCTTTCTGGTAGTTGTAGTATATAAAGTTACGCCATAATGCAAATGGCCTATTGGTGTTCGATTGTGATTTAAAAAAAAATCATACATACAGCACTTTATATAGTATTGTGTCGACTAAATGTTCAAATTTATCCTACAGTGAAATCAAAAAGGCTAGATTAATTACCGTTTTCCATACTCAGGTTAAAAAAGTAAAAGGATCATAAAAAAATACCTGTGCTTAATTAATGTGCTTTGTCTGATGTCACCGATGGCCAGTATATAATGCGGTGCCGTGAATCACTTTTTTCCCAATATCCTTTGCAGGTGCAAGAACAACTAAATGTCCTTCTCAGGAAGAATAACATTTCAGTGATTTCTACGAACAGTTTTGTGAACGACCCGACCAATGCTGTACACGATATGTTGGTACGACAATTATATAAGCTCAGAGGGATTTGATAGAAAACCCAGAGGCCCGAGGGAAATATCCCAGAAGTGTTAAGAAGTTAACGCACCTCAGTCGTTAGAATAAACATAGTCTAGAATAGAAACAGCCCAAATTCGATGTATTCTGTTTGAATGGTCATGCACAAAAAGCTGGGGACGAGGCTCAGTGGAAACAAAAGAAATTTCTACTGCTTACCATATCCGGGATTCGTCTTTTTGCAAGAGTGTTATAGGTCTTATAGACAACTGTGTCCTAATTACTTTAACTAATTAATTATTGATATTTCTAGGAAAAAGATTCTCGAATAATAATCGCTCTGACTTACGAGAAGAAATGCAGACAAATGATGTGTGCGGTGAGTGGAGTACAGTGTGCATGTCCTCTTATTGACACACTCTAATCAGCCAATCAGCGCGCGAGAATTTAAACAAGTGTGATAAAAACTAATCTTGCATATTCTGCCTTTGTTGGCAGGCTTATCAACAAGGTTTCTATGGTAACCACATACAATGGCTGCTGAGGGGCTGGTACGAGTATCGATGGTGGACCATTAATGATACTGTATGTAACAAAAGTGACATACGAACTGTGCTTGGGAACTACATTGGTGTTGAAGAAAAAACATTGAGTACAGATGAGAGGATGACAATTTCTGGAAGGGTAAGATTGTCCTCGGAAACCCAGGGATTTTCATTGGGGTCGGTGATTGGATCCTGTACCCGCTGTGAGGAAAGGTCATTACATGCGCCCATTATACTTAAAAGTATTTCTTTTGGTATTTTTTTTTTCATTTCAAAGCTTTGATTTGTGGAATCTGAAATAGTTTCATATCATTTCATGTCAGAACTGGGCTTGGTTTATGACGTCATTGTAATCTATATCAAATACACGTCTGTTTCAAACGGAGGCAACATACACTTTCTATATAAGGTTACGYACCTATATGTCCCTTAGTGTGTATCCTTCAATTTTAAGGTAGAAATTGTATGCCTACCCTCCCCAACTAAAGAAAAAAAAATAACTGAAACTTAGGCTACTGCATAATAYACTTCAATGGTCTTTTTTGTAGACGCCTTCAGAGCTGCAAACATTGTACGAATCCAAGGCCCATAATATGTCATTACCAAGAAACARCTACGCACCTTACGCCTACGACGCGCTCTGGACAATCGCACTTGCGTTGAATCAGTCCATCAAGATATTAAAGAAAACAAACAAGACTCTATCAGACTTTCATTACAACGACACTGATATGGCATCAATTTTTACAAGTTTAATTGCAAATACTAGYTTTTATGGGATGTCGGTAAGTGGCTTATTCCTGGTCAAACCGCGATCACGAGAAATGCTGAATCCGCATCAAACAACATATAATATTGTTGTTTAGCAATCTGGAGCAATTTTTCAGGATCAGCAAATACATTTTGGACATCATATAAAATTAGTGTTTACAGATGGCTTCGTGTACTTAAAACTCATGGAACATGGAACGACAAATCATGAAAACTATTCAGTGGCCATACGGTTGGTTTCGACAATTCTCGTACCCCGTCAGGCTGGTCTTAGCGAAGGTTTTTCGTTTGTTCATTGATATAGATGGTTTTCGCTGCATCATTGTTGATAGACTAGGCAGGTACGTTGTGAACCAACTACTTGTCACACTTGTCAATCTTAATCTACAGGGACTTGTAGAGTTTGAGAAAAATGGCGACCGCATTAACAACCTTTGGATCGAACAACTTCAAAACGACGATGAAATAAGAGTTGGTGTTTTTCAAAGTGAAGCAAAGCAGCCGTCAGTAGATCTTATCAAAGTAAACCACACTTTATGGTCATGGCCAGGTAAGGACATGTAATCTCCGTTTGTTTTCTCTGTCAATGGGATTCCTGTGTTAACTGACGGACTTTCCCTTCCTACGTTTCTAAGAAACGTATGTACACAGGCTACGTAGAGAAGTTTAAAACGTTTTTTGACTTTCGTGGAGACATTCTGACGTATTTTTCGAATCTTGTTTAAGGTGGTAAAATCCCTAAAAGTGAACCAGAGATAATAGAGTCCATGGCAACAATGAGTAATTCAGTATTCATCACCATGGCAACGCTGACGAGCTGTGGTATATGTATGGCATGTGGATTTCTATGCTTCAATGTTATTTACCGCACAAACAGGTTACTAAGCAACAGCCAATCAATTTTTTGTCATAATAAGCTTGATATTTAGATTTCATGCTCTCTTCAATTATAGAATGTGCTGAAAAGCGTCAAAGAACAAAACAAATGGCAATAATAAGGGTTTTTCGTGCACTTTCTAGGTTTAAAAGCTGCATTATTTTTGATTTTGCTTTTGTTTGTCTTTTTTTTCCTGCGTTTTTTTTGTTTCCATCATGTTTACTCAACCCCCCTCTCCACTCTCTGAAAATTTTACCTGGATCCGCCCTTGAAATGGGTCCACTTGATGCAAGCATATTTCATCAGTGTATTTTGTTCCTTTTAGTCACATCAGAATGTCTTCACCTCACCTCAATAACCTGATCATCATTGGCTCGCTGATGGGGTATTTCTGCGTCTTTCTTCTCGGGTCAGCGTCTTTCCTTAATGAGAATCAGATATCGATTTACAGAATTACATGTATAGTAAGTCTGGATTTTACACTTTGCATCTGATCGTGTTTGAACAAAGCGATTTCTGTTTCTGTTGCTACAACACCCACATTTAGCCACGCAGATAGTTTTATATAGCTATTTCAAAAATGGTTGTTGGATAAAATGGCAAATGTCAATTGTCGAACGGCGATTGCCGAACGTAGCCATGGGTTTTGCTAGTTGAAAGGCAATAACAACTGATTTGTACTGTAAGATGGTCTGTGGTAAACATTGGCTCCATTTATTCTCCATTTCTATGTAAGGTGAATCCAATAAGTGAAATTTTGTGTAACCATAGTGCCTTTCGATCGTGCAATCTCCCTTCGACAATAGCCGTTCGCCGTTCTCTCCGACAACGTTTTTTGAAATAGCTGTATATAAGTTTACTGGCCAAAGAACAATTTGAAATTTCATTGAATATTTCTGTCTGTCTGTCCACGTTATGTGCATGTCTTGTTTACTATGTAGTCAATTCCCATTTTCTTGTCATTCTTTCCCTTTCAATTATTTAGATACGACAATGGTTTATGGCATGTGGATTCACGCTAGCATTCGGCACCATGTTTGTCAAGACTTGGCGTGTTTATAAAATATTTACAAACAATAACTTAATTAAAGAGGTAAAATATCATATAAACAAGTATTTGATTCATATATCTTATATAATCATTTAAAATCTAAATTATGCAACTTTGCGATAAAAGAAAAAAGCTTTTTTGTCGTAATCAGACCGAGAATGATCTGATGCGGACTATTCAGGCCTCAAAAAGCTGCCGCGTTACCGTGAATAGAATAACATATCACATGAGCAACCTACAATGCTGAATATTACTTCAGTTAACTGACTTTCAGTTTGTCATCCGACATTTAATTTCCCTTAAAATCGAAACATGGATGCCGCGGGCATTAATTTTCGAAGGCCCACCTTGCATCCTAGAATCTTAGCGATCGCTTGTTTTGCTTTACAAATAATCTCTTGTTGGAAGCTGGTTTCTGATTGTCTCAAAATCAAATATAGCGAATATAATAAGGAAAATCACGCGGTTTTTGGATGCACCTATAAATATATTGCATTTTTCAGATTTTTGCACAAAACTTTTTTTGCGGGTCTTTGTTTCGCGTTTTTTTTTGGCTCGTGAAAATTGGTAACACTAAATTTATCATCATGTGACTAAAATAAATGTCTGTAAAAAGTTTGAAGGCTAAAATGGTTTTCTTTTTTCATTGTAGCTTGGTTATTTACACGACCGCCATCTTGTTGTGCTACTTGGTCTTCTGCTTAGTGTAGATATCTTAATGTTGTCTGCTTGGCAGATCTTTGATCCAGTTCAAGCAACAATCCAACCATTTGAAAAGGTGAGTAACTCACGTGTGAAATCTTAATTCTGAGGACACGGCCCGTCAAATAAGTCTAGGTTGCATTGTTTTCCTGGTCACTTTGATATGTGATTTCACTTCTATTACTGTACATAAGCAATGTTAACTTAACTGCTGCAATCTTATTGACTAAACACCTTCGTCTGGGCTTACAACTGTACAAAGAGTATAAAAACAAGATTTTTTGATTGTTCCTTACAAATAAAAGTAATTTACAAGAAACTATTCCCTGCTAGCAGAGGCTTACACGGTAAATTCTGTCACGTAAAAGTTACTACTTTTACGTGACAGAATTTACCGTGTAAGCCTCTGCTAGCAGGGAAAAGAAACTAGTTCCTGCAGGTATTAAATTTAGCACTACACTGTTTGATCTATTGCAGATTTCAAGTACTGATAATAGAAGAATTTACTATTATAATGTATTTCATTGTGAAAGTGCTCACCAAACGGCTTGGACAGCCTCAACATATTCCTACAAGGGACTTTTATTACTTTTTGGGTTATTCCTGGCCTGGGAAACAAGAAATGTGAACTTTCGCCCTCTAAATGATTCACGTTACATAGGAATTAGTGTTTACAATGTGGTCCTGTGGGCCTGCATATCTGTACCATTGAACATTTGGGTCACTAAAAAAAGTGTTGATGCAGACTTTGGTCTCTTTGCGGCTGCAATGAATATCTGTGCATCCTCAACCTTGATTCTTGTATTTGGTCCAAAGGTATTATGACTTTTGCTTTCATCCAAATCCATTCATCCATCTCCACCCATCCATTTACCCATCCCATCCTACTATCATACTATTCATCCCTCGACCCATCCTCCTATCTATCCATTTACCTTCACCCATCCATCCATTCATTTACCCATCCTACTATCCCTCCCTCCATCTACCCACCCATCCATTCATTAATTCATTCATGCTATAGTAATTCTTCATCTTCCCATCCATCCATTCATCCATCAATCAATACTTTCAATAAAGTATGACCAAAAGACTTCTGAACCTTTTCACCACAATTTGATTTTCAATGTATTGTGGAAAACAAAAGAAATCTGCCATGTTCATCTGTCCTATAATACACTGCATATATGGTACATGACGTAAAAGTTTCAGAGGCCTAATAGAAGTATGACATTTTCTTTTATTCTGGTTTATCGTCCAATATATTAATCATCTCATCCAAAACAGCAAATCCGTCCATTTACTTCTACTCCATAATTACTCCTACTTTCAATACTGAAAAAGTTGTGAAATGACTGTCTTCCAACACTGGTGCATTGATAATTTGCTTTGTTTCACTTCTTAGGTTTGGACAGTGAAAAAAGTAGCCACTTCAACTATTTATCCAACTGATTCTAAAATTGAGACTGAAATTTCGAAGCAAACCAAACGACATGCAATGTGTCCTGGATGTAAATGTGAATAGTTTTTATCCAGCAGGCAGCAAGATGTATCCAAACTGYACCCATACTTTTTCAYGACGAAAGGATATGTTGTACAAATTAGTCACAAACTAGGATGCATTAAATGTGAGAAGCTTTAATGTCCTGGCCACAGAGAGACTTCCCAAAAGTGCCAGCTAGACAAGCTATGCACCTCTACAGGTGGCAGCAGAGGCCATTGATGACTTTGAAATCTCATAATACCAGATAGAAATATTTGAGATTAACTGCTACTGAAAAAAACACTCTCATTGATTAAACCTCTCAGAAACCCTATTGTATTTGAGAAGCTCAATTTTTCAAAGAAAGCTTTGTCATGTTCTTTTGATATTCAATTCCAATTTGATGCCATTCACCATTTTCATGAAAACTGTATATCATGAAAAACTATTTTATCTAGAGAGCTCAAATTTTCAAGGATAAGCATTTTATGCCATGTTCTTTTGATATTCATATTATACCTTAATGCTTTCATCCTTGCCTTAATCTATAATCAAACGACATCAAACTGTACAGATTCACTTACGCCATTTYTTTGCAAACAATGACAATATACTACTGTACTAGCTTTGTACATGTATGTGTATGTTCCTAGAGTACAAACATTAAATGTGTGCAACACTTTCCACTATTTACTACAAAATAGTGTTAATTCAACAATAGAAAACAATAGAATTAGCATAATTTAGCAGTATTTATATTGCACAGTTTTAGTGTTTGTACTCTATCAAAAGAATTTTAAAATGTTCATCTTTTCAAAACATTCACTCTTGAAGCWRCAATTCGTCATTCTGATTCACGCACAAAGAAATCAATGTTTCTTATTACATCTCTTCAGTATGATCAACAAGTGTTGGTTGTTCATGCCCTAATATTGCACCAGTAGATAACTTAATTGTGTAAACCCACGGTCTGACCTTTGCTCAGCAGATTCTCCATCAATGCTGGACCATATATTTCTGCAGTAAGAGAATATGCAGCATTTGGTTTTTAGTCTGATTTAAAGTAAATCATTCTTCTATATTTAGTAGTAAGATCAAATAGAAGTTTCTAGTAAATACTAATTGGATCAGTCTGACCTTGTAGTTGCAAGCCAGTCAGAGTCTGTATACAGAAACCATTCCGTCGATATCCGTGCTGTTTTCGAAAATAGTCGCCAGTTTAAAGATCAAAGTGTTATTAAAATGGAGACCTCTTGAGAAGTAAGCCCTTGTAAACAAATGGAAATATCTTGGAATGATATGAACAACCATTCGTTTCGCCCGGAGGTTTCTGATCAAAAAGGGCGGGAAATGAACGGGATGCCTGTGTTAACATCGATACCAGGCCTCTCTAAATGTACAAATGGAACGCCTGTTTGAATTTATATAACCGACAGAACCAAAAGAAGAATGGAGTTTTCAGACTGGCAAGCACAATTTTCTGCTCTTAGAGATCGTAGTAAATACGTATTCGACAACTCCCTATTCTGTGATGTCGAGTTCTCGGTTCTAGACTATGATGGAAACAAAGTCACCATTCCATCCAACAAGTACGTGCTGGCTASCACCAGTCYTGTCTTTGSTGCCATGTTTTACGGTCATCTAGCCGAGAATAAACCAACTATCGACCTACCAGACTGCACCAAGGAAGGACTAAAAGAAATGCTTCGCTATGCACATTGCGAAGAGGCCAACCTTACAGGAAATAACGTAATGGAAGTACTTTACCTCGCCAAGAAGTACATGATGCCATTCCTCGTAAAACAATGCAAAACGTATCTTGTAAATGAAGTTGGACCTGAAGATGTTTTCACTGTTTTGCCGCAAGTCCTGAAGATGGGAGATGAAGATCTTCAAGAACACTTTTGGAGAATTGTTGATAATAAGACTTACAAGTGCATATCATCTGAGCCATTTCTGGATATATGTCATGAAATGTTGTATGACGTGCTCCAAAGAGATACCCTTAGAATCAATGAATTGCAACTTTTCCAAGCAGTAGATAAATGGACAACCAAGAAGATCCAAGAAGAAGCTAGATTAGTTTGTAATGGTAAAACAAAACGAGCCATTCTTGGAGTAGAGGTTATTAGACTAATTAGATTTCCACTCATGACAGCAAATGAGTTTGCTGAGGTTGTGCTTCCTTGTAACATTCTTAACTTAAGCGAAGTAACTGAATTAGTTCAAATATTCAGCAAGAATAGTAAATCGTCCAACTTGTTTATTGCAAAGAAAAGGTTCTCTCTGGGTGAAGCTTATACACCAAGTATTCGCTTTAATACAATCTATTGTGATGGATGGTACTATGACGGTAGCTCTGAAGATGTCATCAATATTACAGTGAATAAATCAGTGGATATGATTGGTGTCCAGCTGTTTGGAAGCCAAGAATGTGTCTATCGTGTTCGATTAAGAATCTTCAAAGTCGATCCAAATCAATCAGAATGTATTTCTGATTTATGTTGTAAATATGAGAGTGAATTGATAAGCGATTTATATTATGGGTTTACTGTTGTCCTTGAAAAACCACTAAGACTTCAGCCAAATGTTAAGTATAGCCTTTCTGCAGGAATACAAGGTCCACCATCATACTATGGAGAATCTGGTAAACAAAGGGTAACAGTTGGTGATGATATTATTGTAAGATACAAAAGTGCAAGATCCATTCGTACAACATCAGGACATGGCCAGTTCCCAACACTTGTTTTGAAGTCAGTTCATCAGGATGGGTTGTAACATAACATTTACTTATTTGACTCTGTTATTTATATGCCTGAAATTTTAAAGCATGGTATCCTTTTTCCAAAACAAATAAATTCACACAACTGAAAGAAATAGAGTGGTTTTCATTAACCCGTGAAACAAAGTGTAATAGAGCGGATTTCGTATGAGTGGGACACCGCACCGCACGGTTACCGCACAGTTACCGGACCTGGCMTGCACAATTTTGGTGAACCAATGGGGCACTAGAATTTGGTTACAGTACGATTACGGTCACAGTACAGTACTGTCCGTTTCCCACTCATACGAAATCCGCTCTAATTAGAGTGTAATAGATCGTAAATAGTCGTGTAGAGACAATAAAAAGCAAAAGAGCCAAAGTGTAATAGCGATAAATACGCTCAAGTGTGTTTCACGGGTTAATGAAAACCACTCTATGGTAACTTTAGTTTGTATTTTCAAGATGTTGTTGTTCAAACTTCTATAAAGTTTTCAGTTTAATGAGAACAGAAAATAAAAAAAATTTACAGTGTTTAAAATTATGAGTTCAAGTTGTCAACTGTGTGACACAGCAGAGTAATAACACGTTGTTTACAGTAATATAGAATTTGCCCAACTAGAGAAAGTACTTTTTAAAAATTCAAGTATGTGTCAACCTGCTCTTCATGGATTTGCACTGCATAATCTTTAATAGATACTATGTTATAATAAAATGATAGGCGTGGGTGGATAGCCGAAATTACTTAGACCCTCTGTTCTGGCTTCCCTGCATTAGCTGCAACATCAATTGGAGTTTGATCATGCATAATGAGCCAGATAAAGATTGTCCTCCAATTTTTTCATGGTCAAGTGATGCATGATCATAGGATGTGCAAATAATGTCAGTTAGAGTTTGTCTGGGTTTGAAGGAATCCTTTTTGACTTTTCCTTGTAATGTAGCACAGTGCTCAGAGACAATAAAAGATACAAGATGTAAAAACATTATAAACACAAAGTTCACAGTGTATTTCACTGGTTTATTTGGAAACCACTCTTAAACTATAGGTAGGTATTACATTTTACTTTTTAGTCTATTATATAGACAATGTGAGTGGTCCTGAGGGTAATAAAGTGGTATCAAAATAGCATTGGACCAATACTCCTAGTTGATATTTACTGGAAATTAAATTTCCAGTCTATTATTACATTTTATTTCATTGGTTCTATCCTTGCTCTATTCAAGTTAAAAATTATTTAAAAAAACATTTTGTTGTCAGACTAGTCTCCTTCGCAACCTTCTTTTGGGAGGGACAGGAAGCCCTACATAAGGCGAGGTTGCGAAGGAGACTAGTTGTCAGACTGACATAATCAGTGGATAAAGAAGCAGAGCTACAGGGTTGGCTGCATCCATTATTTTTTAATGTTTTAACTTAAGTGACACAATATTTAGTACTCATAAAATCAAAGAAATCTGGACCCTGTTTTGAAAAATACTGCATCTACCACTAATAATGTACCGGTAAGTGATGGCAAGGCAATAAAAAGTTACGCATGGATGTGCAACTAAAGTGAGAGAAAATAGCCAATATCATGTGAGTGAAATTTCCAATAATATAATCATTGGCTGCCATGAGTATTCTTGCTCACATGGACTCGCAACACAGGAAACCCAAAGTAAAGGAAGAGAGATCAAAAACAGACAGTTGCCCGTCAAAGAGGCTACAATCATATAACACTTGATGTATATAACATAGTACAGTATGTCCCAAACCAAATTAATGACAATCCTGTCTACTTGCATTGTAGATGTATGTACATAAAATGTATAGCTATTATAATAAATTGCATAAATAAATTTAAAAATGTTATAAATCATCATCTGATTCTTCAGGTATGGCGCCTAATAATTTAGCATGTGCTGAGCTGGATGATCTTTTGGGTTTCCGCCATCTTCCTAACAACTTCTTACTTTTTAATAAACTAAATTTTGAGTTGCTATCATATGTTAAGTCTTCAGTTCTCCACCAGTAATAATCTCTCTGTCGCCATGGTTTCACATACAACATGACACTGACSAGTATCGCAGCCAGGAACACAAGGCTGCCAAGTGCCCATGCAGCATTTACACTGTCAAATTTRTGGCGTTCACGAAGCTTGCCATCTTGTCCTCTCACAATCACTATGCGTTCTGATGCTTTGATTGACACATGCTCTTCAATTTTCTGAGTCTGTTCATCATGAGGACTGTCATCCTGCTTTTTCATGACTTCATTTGTGTCTTTCATTGAGTGTTCATACATTGACTAAAATAAGACAACAACATTAACTTTGCCCATGAGAAAAGTGCAAGGAGAGCATCATACAGAGATAAAAAAATAATAAATGCAAAATGATAAAAAAAAGACAAAATGTATGACCAAGGATGAAAAATTGAGGGCAAAAAATTAATTGAATTTAGTCACCTTCTCAGAGGGACAGAGCTCTGATTCATGTCTATCTGAGACAATTCTTGCAGGATCAACAAGACCTTCACCAGAACCACCAGTTCTTACCACATGTACTGCTGGAGCCTTCATAGCATTGCTACGGATCCACTGACGAAGCACAGTTGAATTGAAATACTTGGCTGAATATAAGCAGCCCCATGCTACTACTGCAAAATCCTGTATACCAATCATTGCATATTTGAAAAAGGAATATTAAAATTGAGTACTAGTGATATTTATACAACTTTTCAGTAAAATCAGACGTTTTGATTGGTTGGCTTTCGTGTGTTATCAAAGTATAGATACACGGATTACGTCAAAACTAATCGTTTGTTGTATAAAACAGATAGATCTCATTTTTCCRTGCGTGTGTACTCTAATAGAAACACAGATGACGTCAAAATGTAGCGAGAACAACAGTCAYGCACTCGACTGCGTCTYGTGCATACTTTTTTGTTCTCACTACATTTTGACGTCATCTGTGTATCTATTAGAGTACACACGGACGGAAAAATGAGATCTATTTGTTAAGTATAATTATACAGTTATTTCAGAAAACACTTGAATCATGACTACTGTGCTACTGCATAATGCATTCCAAGACTGCCATACATTTTAGCTGTCTTACAAAATAACAATTGAAGTTCTTGAACTTAATAGGAACTCTGTAAACAATGAAAACCCTGTAATAGGCTGTAATAGGTACCCTTTTTTGAATGGCAATAGAAACATGCACAATGTATTTTGGTCTTGTAATACACTATCCCATATTGGTATTCGGTATCATTCAGTACACAACATTTTCTGAAATATATAGCTGTATATAATAGTAACTCAACAAAATTAATGTATGAGGGAAAAGGCAATATCGGTCTAAAATGCTATGAGTTGTATTGGAATTGTTAAATATTAGAGCCATAGGATGAAAACTGGAGATTGATGTACCAATAATGYGTACCTGTGCTGGATCTAGGTTTTCATAGGGTGTAATGACATGTCTATGCAAACAACTTCCTGCAATATGCTTGATCTTCTTCACTAGCTCATTGGATGCACATGGATGATACAAGAACAGAACCCCACCATGCTGGATATACATTAATTGAAAACATAGTTTAGAAAAGTTTCCTTGAAAGTTTCCATGATATAACAGTATTTTGAATCACGAGGTCAAAAAACCAATTTGCTATAAATGATTAATCATTTAATGTGAAAGGAAGAGCCAAGGTTAGAAATAACGAAAGTGCTGGTTTAACTCTCACAATAAAGAAATTAAATATGAACTTTTCTAAAGGAATCTATTGCCTGCCATTTTTTGGATCAATAATGTAAACTTGTCCATTTTATTAATATTAACTATGTCTTTTCATTCCTGGACACCATTGTGCCGTAGCTGATTGACTCTAGATAATAAACTACAAATATCAATCCATGAAGTGGACAAAAAAAGTTCCTTACTCCATTCAAGGCATGATAAAAATTGTATTTTTTCACAATTAATAATTTTTATGTAATCAAACAAATTAATTCTGGTCTATGAAATGGATGAGATTTTTTTTTTGTTATGCTTACCACAAGAACATATTTCCATTTAGACTTGGGTAGGTAGGTATACTCTCCATATTTGGGCCAGTGCACAGGTCTTGTGTCATAACTATAGAAACATATATCAATGGAATTGAGATCAATGATTACTAAAGAACAGTAACAGGGATAATTCTCTCATTRGCTGGTCACATACTCACTCACTTTGTCAACTTTTGTTTGCAGTGGACTGGATCTGTAAAGCACATCAGTGGCTAAAGAAACAAATACGTACATGAATACTTTGATAGTTATGCAGGCTTTATAGCATGCTATAAACATGATTAAACATCTACTTGGTATAACTTTACATGTGTTTACTAAAATGCATAAGAGCTAGCAGTGGCTTAATAACAATTGTTTCATTACTTCTAAGTCCAAATTTTCAAACCAAAATAGAATTATAGCATAGACTATGTACAGCTATCTATGAGGAAAATTAAAATTAATATAATAATTTTATAAGTAAATTCATAAAGCAGGAAGAGATTGTCAATGATGACCACTAAATGGACAACTAAGAGTAATGTGACCAACAACTTATTCTTTCTAAAATGCACTATATGATGAAAGTTTTTTTTCAATGAGTATGTACATTAGCTTCTTGCAAAAGTGGCTTGGTTATTAATCATACATTGTATTATGTAAAGAGAAAAGAATCAAATGTTAAACTTTCAAGGTAAATACATACGATTACAAAAGGTGTGGCATAAAATATTGCTCGTTACTACGGTGATGTCACTTTCTTACAACTATCAGGTTCATGCATTTCTCTATTGTTCAGATCTTATTGGCTTATGAGATACATGTCAACAAAACAATGGACATAAATAACAGAACAAAAGAAATTGATCAATGCAATGTGGAAGTTGTAGCGATTAGTCCATTATGCAAAAATACTATTAGCAACAAACAATCATTCAGCAAAAAAAACCTTTCAATATCATTGTTAAGTTTGGTTTGAATGACAACAATTATTTATTGCTACAGTAACCTAATGACTTGAGCTTGTTGTGTTATTATTAATTTATACAACTGAAAGGAAAGGAAAACTGTACTTACATCTTTCTTTTCATTGTAGCAAATAGAGTGGCTTTTATTTACTCTCACATGCTGTGGAGAAAGCAAGCTATATTGATTAGTCTGTTGACTAAAGTTGTCACAACGATAGTTATTTTCATATAAAACTAATTTAGGATGTACAACAGCATGTATATAAACAATTTTTCCTTCCTGTTACTCTATCATAACACAACCACTTRTTTCTCATATACTCTCTATACGGTATATCACACCAGTTCATGTCAAAGGACCATTTTACATTTCATTTATGCAGACCATGGATAAGTGTCATAGCAACATAACAAAGTAAATAAATGAGACAAAGGAGTTCACAATGTATATTCCTTTGACAAGTCTCTACATGTAGTTTGCCTCAACTTTTTAACAAATTTTGTTTTTTGGAAATTCTTGATTCAAGACATTTATGATTTAAAT